GGGGGGGGGGGGGGGGGGGAAAAAAAAAAATGTATTTTTTTCTTCTTTTTTCTTTTTTTTTTTAATCTTTTTTTAATCAACTTTTTTTTATTTATTACTCATTTTTTTCCTCTTTTTTTCTTCTTTTTATTTTTATCTTTTTTTTATACTTTTTATTATTATTATTTATTAATATATAGCTAAATAGATATACGTTAAGGTAGGCATATTATTATTTTATTTATTTATTTTATTTATTTATTTATTTATTTATTTATTTATTTTATTTATTTATTTATTTATTTCTAGGGTTTAGGGTTTAGGGTTTAGGGTTTAGGGTTTAGGGTTTATGTATTTTATTGCAGAGGTTAACAACTCTTCCTCTTAGTTCTGCTTGTTCTTTATATCAACATTTTGCTGTTAAACACTACGAGAGGAAACCCCATCTTGTAAACCCTAAACCCTAAACCCTAAACCCTAAAACCCTAAAACTCCCTACCTACACAAACAAACCCTTCATATATATATGTGTATTCCCTTCATAAACCCTAAACCCTTTTTTTGCAGACAAATAACAAACTCCCTCATAATATCTAAACACTTAGAATCCAGGGTTTAGGGTTTTAGGGTTTAGGGTTTAGGGTTTAGGGTTTAGGGTTTGTGTACAGTCTGTAGAGGAATTAAAATCTCTTCTTATTGCCCAATCAGCAAAATTTGCATCGCGTATAACAGAGAGCAAGCAAACAATAGCAGAGATAGGTAAACCCTAAACCCTAAACCCTAAACCCTAATTCCCAAACCCTAAACCCTAAACCCTAAACCCTAGAAAACCCTAAAACCCCTTATATAGACCCCCAGAACCCCTCGTTTTTTCCCTCCGCCTCCTATACCACCTACCCTTCCCTATAAATATAATATAAATAAGGGTTTAGGGTTTAGGGTTTATGTATGAATATATAGGTCGTATAATGTTTACAAAAGATCAAATGGTAGTACTTACTCATGGAAGAAGTTCTTGTGTTGAGCGTCTTCTTCTTAATGCTTGGCTAAACCACAAAAAGAGGTTTATAGTTATAATAACACAACAAGAAACCCTAAACACTCATGGACAACAAACTATTACTAATGATGAGTACATTATATACACTACTTATTCTATATAAACCCTTTTATTCATTTATATCTCTTTTTTATATTATATTTTACCTTTTATACTGTTCGTGTACCATTTATTGTGAGGGTTTTCGAGGGTTTAGGGTTTAGGGTTTAGGGTTTAGAGTGGAAGAATTTTGTGGATTAGGGTTTGATGGGTTTTTTAGGGTTTATAATGACTGTGATGGTTTAATTAGGGTTTAAGGGTTTAGGGTTTGGTTCGTTTGGTGTTTATGACGGATGGCGGTTAGGGTTTACGAGGGTTTGGTACTGTGCATGTACGTTAGGGTTTAGGGTTTAGGGTTTGTGGTAGAAATACGTGTTTGTGGTTGAATTTTATGGCGTTTTCTTTTTATGATATAGAAAATAGGGTTTAGGGTTTAAATTAGGGTTTAGGGTTTGTGTTAAATATGCAGAGATCGTCTTCTTGCCTCCTTATCTGCATGCGGTATACCTGCATCTTTATCAAGTGTTAGTCTTGTTGCTTCCTTGATGGAGAGAGTTGACTTAGTTGTTGTTGGCGCAGAAGCCGTGGCAGAGAATGGAGGAATTATTAATAGAGTGGGTCGAGGGTTTAGGGTTTAGGGTTTAGGGTTTAGGGTTTTGTAGGGTTTAGGGTTTGGAAGGGTTTGGAAGTGTTTGGTAAGGTTTGGTAGGGTTTGGTTTCCTTTCCAAGTTATTTTAGGGTTTAGGGTTTGCGGTCTTTTAGGGTTTTTTTTTAAAGAATTTATATGAGGGTTTAGGGTTTAGGGTTTAGGGTTTAGGGTTTATCGGTTTCCGGTATTTTTTTTTTTGCTTTATTGAATTATTTGTTTTTTTTTCCTGCGTTGTTTTATTTTTGTTTATTTATTTATTTATTTATTTTTATTGTTTATTTATTTATTTCTTTTTTTATTAATTCCTTTTTTCTTTTTTTTTTATTTCTTCTTATTTATCTATTTTATTGTTTTTTTCGTCATTTTTTTTCTTTTTTTTTCTTTTTTTTCTTCTTTTTTTGTCCTTTTTCTGTTGTTAATTCTTGTGTAATAAATAAATGAATTCCTTTTCTTCTTTTTTTTTTATTTATTTATTTATTTATAGGTAGGAACAGCAACAGTAGCTCTTGTTGCTGCACAAAGATGTATTCCTTTTTATGTTGTATGCGAGGCCTGTAAATTCGGTCGAGCAATTTCTTTAGATAATAAGGCTTCTTCTCTTTTTTCTATGCAACCTGCGCAGCCCCAACGAGTAAACCCTAAACCCTAAACCCTAATTCATAAACCCTAAACCCTATATTGTTTATCCTGAGAAAATTTGATAAAAAATGACCTCTTTAACACTTAATTACACCATAAAATGATATAAACCCTAAACCCTAATTTCTAAACCCTAAACCCTAAACCCTAATTTCTAAACCCTAAACCCTAATCCATGAATAAAAAAAGGAATATATATTAATTTTCTCTGGTTTTTTAACGAATATGTAGATAAATAGATAAAGAATAATAATAAATAAATAAATAATAATTTTTCCTTCTTTTTTCCCTCTTTTTTTGTATTTATATACAGGACTCGTTAATAGGAGACTGCTGGGAACCATTAGACTATACTTGCCCTGAATATATTAATTTATTATTTACTGATTTAGGTGTATTTACACCTTGTAGTGTATCTGATGAATTAGCTAAATTATTTAATTAATTTATTTATTTATTTATTTTATTTATTTTATTTATTTTATCTATTTATTTATTTAATTTATTTAATTTATTTATTTTGTTTATTTTGTTTATTTTGTTTAGTAGTTTGCTTATTAATTAATTTAATTAATTTATTTAATTAAATTAATTAATTACTTCTTTTGTTTATTTATTTATTTATTTATTTATTTATTTATTTATTTATTATGCATGCATACATTGTTATTAATAGTTCTTTCTTCTATTTCTTCTTATTTACCTACAGGTTATTTATGTCTTATTTATTATATATATTATTATTATATTAGTAGTT